TGTGCGCTATAATAAATATATGTTATTTAATTTGGCTTTTATTAAATGCAAAAACGTTTTCAAATTAAAGTCCCTAGCTCAAGAATAGAGAGAGAAGCAGCTATAAATAAAATAAATCTCCTGCTAGCATCAGTTCCTATTCTACACGTTGGGTGAGAGATACAAACAGCTGTGGTGAAATTCCACCTTCGGAACTCACCTCTCGCGCAAGCCCCCATTAGGCCCCCGCACGCTGGCTATAATGAAACGTAAATCGTGCCAGCCAGGCCGAAAACAATGCCTATCACACCACAAATGAGCAGCAGGTAGGCGATGTAGTAGTTGAACCTCCCCTCACGCTCCACTGAGAAGCCACCAGCATACATGTAGAACAGTGCCGGGAAGATGAATCCCAAGAAACCACCGTTAATCGCTCCACCGAAGCCAAATACAGTGTGAAGCGTTGGAATGAATAAACCGCAAAGCAGTGACACCACAGAGAATACCACAACAACAATTAGATGCCAGAGGAAGGGGATGTTGTCAATGTACGTCGTATCCTCCTCCGTACTTATTGCGGACACCTCATTCGTGGGAATTTGGTTAACGCTCTCATCCCGTGGATGCGGCTCTACAGTATCCTTAAGCGCCTCACCTTGTGGGTTCTCATGCACCGCGGAAGCTTTTTCGCTGAATCGCTTCTGCCATCCGATGACGTAGTAAATGGCGTTACGCGCTGTTGAGCCAACTAGTGCATACGATACACATAGTTTGAATACTATACCGACGTACGCAACCATTATTTGTGGCTCCTTGATCGGATTGTACATCAGTAGAATCGAATTCGAGCCGATGGTGGCGCCAAAGTCAAGGTATCCAAAGATTGCAGTAAGGGTGAATACAAAACTGGTCATCAACATACCAATCAGAGCAGACCACATGAAGTTGCGTGGCGTACGTATTTCGGGACGCATATCCCACCAGATTTCGTACACGGCAAGTTGACAGGTGTAGGCGAACATGAACACACCGATGCTGCCCACCAGAACATTCCCAGTTCGGAAAAGATATATGACTTTTTCATCGCTCCCTACATCGCCTCCTAGGTCATTTACCCTCACATGGCCTTCAATATCCTTCAGCCCGTGCGTGCAGCTGTGAGCAAAAACGACGATGGAAAAGTATACCAAGAAGCTGACCGCAAAGGTAGAAGCGTAACGCAGGGAGTCGATGTGTTTCGGAATCGTCAGCGGTAGCATAATAAAGAGCCAGACAAGGACTGTCAGCAGGCGATTGCCTCCAGATGTGTTCAGAAACCTGATGGCTTTGTTGTCAGGGCTGCGCTTGTACGCCTCCTTGAAGATCGGGCGAAAGCAATCCCCCACACAAATCACATACGCTATGCACGCCGAAAATCCGTTAAAAAAACGGATGAAGGCTGCCCAGTAGGAAAAGGCGTAGCGGCCACTCGGGAAGGGCCAACGCGCCATGCCTTCGAAGGATCGAATGTTCGTCTTATGCGCCGCAATTGCCATGATATATAATGAGAAGACGGTGAGGAAGGTGATGAAAACGAGGAGGATTATGGATGCCAC